CCCGATTTGGACGAGTAAAACCCGTGTTTTTCGGGTTCGAATTTTTCTCGATTGATAAATCGAGGGCGGGGGCGGGGTCGGGAATGTTAATACCCGCCCTGCCCCGCTCCCGTATCCGCCCCGCTTAATAATATATTAAAAAACTATTATATATATATATAAACCAAAATTAGAAATATTTATATGTAAAAATTTGTATTATTTTACTTTTCTTTTATTTTTTTTAAAATTTGTTCATATTTATATAAAATTAAAAAAAAGGTAAGAGCGGGGGCGGGGGCAGGGCGGGAAAACCCAAATCATGCCAGGGATGGGGATGAGTACCCAGATTTTACCCTCAACAAGTATCGAAAGCGAGGGCGATTTAAATCTGTGAGGGCGGGAGCGGGAAACGTAAAACTCACCCCCGCCCCGCTCCATTGCCATGCCTACCTATCACCAAACTTTTTCTCTTGTTCCTCAACACGAGAAACAACGAAAAATTGGGGGTTTTGTTGTTATTGTGATTAGCACCAATGACAATCCTCTAGCTTTTGCAGTTAAAAGTCAATTTGATTTTAAACGTAAGGTCTTCAAGAATAATTGTATATTGCGTGCATATTGTGGAATCTTGAGTCATTCAAAGGAGAATGCTATAGATTGCATGGTTTCCAACCCAATTACAAGAAGCCATCTTCTAATAATGTTGAGGTCAATCAAGCTTTAGTTGAATAATCTAAAACTCAATTCCAAGTTCCAACTTAAAGCTTAGCAATATAGTCGATTAATGAACCTCTTGCAACATCAAGAATCTAATGCAACAATACCTTTTATTGAATCCTCAATCGATATTGTTCTTTTTATTAATCCTTCTTTTCTTCAATTTGTTGGATTTTCAATTCTGGTGAAGTGCTCATGTAACATGTAACCTCTCTTTATTCACCTCTTATCAATTTATTTCTGATAAATTTATCACTTTGAATTATAAAGTTGTTACTTCAATATTTTTCACCATTATAGTGCCATCTAATTTTGGTTTTCTACAATGTCATATAGGTTTCTCAATTTACATTTAATTTGCTACCTATTAGTGCCCTTTTAACTAAACCTTCCATGCCTATTTTTTTCCCTAAACTCTTTGTTATTTAGCAGATGCCACACTCCAATAGGATTGGCAAGGGTGAGCTCATTGAATGCCTTTATGTCTTATCACTTAAGGATTAATCTCGCCTTCTATTTTTTCATATAAATATGTTCTATCCAACTGTAATTCTATCAACCATATTAATTCTTTACATTGTATTGCCAATATCTGACATTCTAAGAGTTGACATATTTTCTTATAAGATTCTTAAAATCTTGAGTAATATAATTCATTTTCCTTTGTCCAATGATTTCTCTTGAATTTCATGCCAAATATGTCCTCTTTCTAAATTTAGAAGATTATATTTTATATCCAATAATCATTTCCATTCCATACAACATTTATAGGCATCACGCTTCTTGAGGTTTTTCTTGATTGTGACACGCCTACCGATAGTGAAAACCATTTAAGAACCACCTCCAATTGTTGTTCAATAAAAATTAGGACTTTTTCCTTCCTTAATTTCCTTACCTCACCACACTTGTACTTTTTTAGTCCCTCCAACTCATTAACTCAACCTTGTAGCCACAAACGAACATAGAAGACTTCATAGAAACATTTTTCCTTCATCTTACATGCAATCCATCTCTCAGTGAAATACCTCAAAGCCACTCCTGGTTAAGGATTCTTGTTTCCTACTTTGAACCCTCACAATTTGACGACTTATGTTGATGCCAAATGTTGTAGTTTCTAGGACAAAAGGTGTTCCACTACCAGATTTTGTGTTTCCTAGCAATGCATTGATATCTTGGATCTCCAAGAAACAACCCACTATGTCCAAATCTTCTTTTGAGACAAAATATGGATAGTTTTCCTTTATTGCAACTGAACTAGTGTGGCTCTAAAGATTTCTCATTCAATCTTCCATGATATTCCATGATAATCAATCGGCAGTTAACTTGGCATCAAATCAAAGCATCATGAAAGATCAAGACATATTGATGTCGATTATAATTTCATTTATGAACTAGTTAATTCTAATTATATCAAGGTGCTATATGTCAAAAGCCAACATTAAAGATAGTCAAAAGCATCAAATCAAAGCATTATGGTGTTTTAATTTTTTTGTTACTGTTGTATTTTTTTTTTTTTTTTTACAGTTTGACAATGGTTTACATATATTAAACTCTCTCTATTGTTTATTTTTGTAATGAGATAATTCTTTTTGTTTTCCTCAATAAGGAGAGCCAACACAATTGACTATGAATATATTGCAGCAAAAAGTGTAGCAAAGGACATAGCCTCAAGCTCACCCATGGTAAAATCCACTTCCACAACTAGAGAATGGTCTTCAAAAGGACGAAATCAAGAACTAGGAGGTAATGTGGGTGGAGTGAACCCTATTCTCACCTCAGAAAACTTCTCAAGTTCTAGTTTCTCATTTCATCAACCAATGGTACCATCCACTTCCATAGCTGGAGACGGATCTTCTAGAGGACTAGCTCAAGAACTAGGTGGCAAAGTGGGAGTAGTGAACCCTATTTTCACCTCAAAAGACTACTCAAATTCTAGTTTCTCACTACCTCAATTTATGAGTCCTAATTTATGGCTTGTGGGGGGGAAAGAATGGCAACACCCAAGTGGTGGGAATAACACAACTGTTAGATTTGGAACTCATGATCCACTTCTATATGATCCTCCACAAGTTGGTGCTTCACTTGGAAATTCCATGTTTCCTAGTTCAATGGAAAATTCGCTCAATCAATTTCAATTAACCTCATCAGCAAGCTTTTCAATGCTTCCTTACAGTGGTGGTGGTGATGATGGTTGTAATGATAGTGTCAAAGGCAGTCACCAACAATTTCAAAGGCACCTTCCATTTGAAATGACTAGGTTGAGTTCATTAGGTACACCTGCAATGAGATACATGGCACAACAACATAATCACAGAAATTTTCTGCCTCCACCAACTCTCATGGTTATTAAAGACTATGTGAAAGCATGGGAGGTAAACTAACTTGGCTCATTACTTGATAAATGCATGACCAACATAATATACTATGATCATTTCAAAAACTTGGAACTCGGAAGGTATATCTTTAACTTCATGCATATGCTAATTAATTTGTCACAAAATGGCTTCCCAATTCCTTTTTTTAAGCCCTATTTAAAATTACTTCAAGAAAAACATACATTTTAGGAGAAATGAAAAACCCATAAACCATTTGTGTCTATATAATTGTAATGTTCTATATAATTAACATGTTTTGTACATACAATATTTACATTAATTATATGTCACTTTAAAATATCTTATTAGTTAAAAATGGAGTACGTCGTTTGAGATATATTACTTTGATATATTAAATTTGGTAATATCTGTTAGTACTGTTTATAGAGATTTTTTTATGGATATATTCTTTTGTGCATCTAGGGATGTTTGGTTGGAAGAGTTCACTCGTACCGTGCATGTCTTAATCAAGCAAGGGTATGATATTTTTAATTTGTTGTAGAAGAATCTTTCTTGACTTAGAATGTCTAATTTGTTAGACAAAATATATCAGAAGGGACTTTTATTCTGATCCTTCTTTTTCTTTAACAACATTTCATCCTATTTTTAATTTGAGCAACCTACATTACAACAATTATGAGAATTGACTATATTAACCTAAATTTTCCATCTTTTCTCCCTCTGATATAGGTCATGGCCAAACCAACATCACCCTCCTCGTAAGTGGTTCCTCTTATGCAATGCTAAATCTTCTTTAAAGTTTCGGTGCTACAAGATATCATTCATCGTGTATTAAACTTTACGGGACTTAGTTTAAGCACACCCTATGCTTCAATCAAAGCCTATTTACTCATCAAAATAATTGTTTTGCTTATAAACAAAAATAAAAGTGTTTAAACTCATGATTATACTTTTGTTTCTCATTCCAGACTCACTTCTACGTGGTCGAGTAGGCTGGAGATCACCATTTTCATTCCCATAAAGGCTGTCAACTACACATTGAGGTAATTTTATGATACAATGTTATTGTTAACCTTTTATCTTAACATTACCTTTTGTAAGGAAATATTATATATATTTTAATAACATTTAAACAGGATTATTGGTGGACCCATTGATTACGTGTTCTTTCACATAACTCAATTCAACAATTTTGACGTGTACGACCATCTGATGAGTAAAAGTTTGGTGAGTCATATGACTTTTATGTTAAATTATAAAATAAAAAAGATATGTTTCTTGTAGGCTATTGAGTGAATAGATACATATTGCTGAATATAAATGTTTTTTTAGAATATAAGAATCATTATACATTTCATCCTTGTGCAGTGTGCAAAAATTGAACTCCCTTCGCATATTATAATCTTATCTACAACAGAAAGCAAACATCATTTCTTAGGAATAATTTTTCCAAGGGTGAGCATCATATGTTAATTTTATTTCACATTATTTTTTAATTTTCCAAATTTTTAATGTCTTTTATCTAATATTTCCTATGCCTTTTTCCAACATTGCTATTTGACTTACACAGGATACAATATTTGTTGAACCTGTATAAAGATGGTCCTAAAGTTGCATGTTGTAAGCCATAAGGGCATGAAACCAGAGGGAAGAGAAAGAGATCAATCATGAGATCATGCTATAAAATTGTTCAAAATTTTTCTAAATTTTGTTATGTTTGTTTGATTTTAGTTCTCTTTATTGGCTTTGTCATATTCTGCGAATTTAAGTGAATAGGCTTGGTAATTTTATGGATTTTAATTTTGTTATATATGCATATAGATTATAACATTGATATGTACTAAGTCAAAAGACGACATAAATTTCTTAAACTTAAATTTTTAATGCTAATAAATAAAATATTTTTATAAAAAAGAAATATCTGCAAAAATGTCTTTGAAAAGTTTATCAAATGAAATGTAAGACACAAATTATTTATAAGACATTGTATATCGGACAAAACATACAATGTCTCATATACATAAAATATTTATTATTTATTAAAATTAACGACAAAGTTTGCTTTGAATACTTCATTTCTTAACCGATTGAACCAAAAAGCTATCTTGAAACTCACAAATCTATTAAAGAGAAGAATTATGTTTTCTATCAAAACTAAGATACCTAAAATCATGATTAAAAGTAGATAAAGTCATTACTGCAGTTGCTCTACACTAACATTGCTTTGTAAGCTTCATTTGGTATGAAAAGTTGATAAGTAGTCTTCTTGATCAGATATGAGGTATCATTTGACGAAATACATTTAATGCTCACATTAAATGAGCCAAACGATCACTTGTCATCACATGGAAAGACGATGAAAACAAATGAAACAAAATTATGAGTCGGACTCAAAGTTTACAACAATCATCTTTTCCAAGCTAATATATAAAAGGATTCAAAGTACGAGAAAGAAGAGAAACATATACAACAAACAGGTATAGATACATTTGTACAAAAACATACTCTATAAATTTATTCTTTCTTGTAAACCTTCGTTGCTCTATACTAGTTGTATAACATCTAATTGAGACGAACACAACATTGTGTAACCTTCATAACCATTGTTATAAGGTTGAATTTGGAGAGACTTGTCTGAAAAAAGAATATTTGTGTTGAGCATGGAGAGACTTATTTGTAAAAGAATACATGTTTTGAGTCTGGAGAGACTTGTATGAAAAAGAAGACTTGTTTTGAGCCTAAGAAGACTTGCTAATAAAAGAATATTTGGTTGTTATGCTTAGAGAGGTTTGTTATTAAAAAAATATTTGGATAGTTACTTAAAGAGACAAGTTAAAGAATACTTAAGATTGAACCAAAAGTGACTTATTGAAAAAATATTTGCATTTTTGTTTAAAGATAGTGAAATTCAATCTAATTGGATTGAGAACTAAACGTAATCTTGATAGTTGAGATAAACCAGTACAAAAATACTCAGTATTCTATTTGACTACTATTTTCACTTCATTTGACTAGCATTACTACTTCACTATAAAAAACATGTAAATTTTTTATACACACTATTCAAGCCCTTCTAGTATTTGTTTTTCCTCCACAATATGGTTTTTTAAGTACAATCACAATTACTCCATCCTTAATTAAGAGGACTTCTACCTTCCTTTGATTTTTGTCTAGTTTTCAATTATATTGTGTTTTGAATAACGGAAACATAGAATTGGTTTGATTTAAGATAAAATCAATGCATTGTCCAACAAAATAAATTGACCAAAAATCATTTAATCATCGTGGTAGTCAAACACGAATCATTTATTTTTTAGAGGATGGTCTCAAGGTCTATGTTTAATGGTATAGGTTTGTTGATTTGGAATTTCAGATGTTACATTGACCCAAATTTTAGTATAAAATGGTGATTGGATATCTTTAATATTTTACTTTCCAAAAACTAAAATTGTCAATTCTTTCACACACTTTTTTTTTCTTTTTTCTACATGTTTAACTTGTTATTACATTTTATATTTAGTATTTAAGTTGAATGCATTGCTTACAATGATATCCAATTATATATAGTGTACTAGCGATTTTAAGAAATGATTTATTATTTTATTCATGAAAAACTATCAAAATGATTCAAATGACATGTGATTATTTAAAAAAAATGGTCTTGTTAAAATAAAATTGAATTTTATTTTAATTAAATTATAAATTGTTTCATGCCTTTTATTCTAATTTAAGAAAGAAGATATTTTATACAAGATATAATAAACGATATAATTGAGTCATAACTATTAGGCATGACAATCTAACCCGTCCCCGTGGATAACCGCCCGAACCCACCCCGATTTGGACGGAAAAAACCCGTGTTTATTGGGTTCGGGTTCGGATTTTTTCCGATTGATAAAATCGGGGACGGGAATGGGGACGGGGATGTTAATACCCACCCCGCCCCCACCCCCATACCTGCCCCCGTCCCGCTTTTCTTTTATTTTTTTAAATTGTTCATATTTATTTAAAAGAAAAAAAGAAGAAAAAAAGAAGAAAAAAAAATAGGAGTGGGGGCGGGGGCAGGGCGGGGAAACCCGAACTCCGCCGAAGGCGGGGATGGGGACCTAGATTTTACCCCCGGTGTGTATCGAGGGCGGGGACGGGGGTGGGGGCGGTTTAAATTTGCGGGGGCGGGAAACGTAAAACCCGCCCTCGCTCCACCCCGTTGCCATGCCTAATAACTATTGTCTAATTTTATTAATATCAAAATAAATGTTTGCTTTAAGTTAGTGCCATATAAATACCTTATAAAATGAGTTTTTGTAAAATAAGGTTACTATGTTATAATATTAGCGCTTAACTAGCAAGTTGTGAATCTGGAAAATTAGACATTCTAAGTACTAATACAGATTTCAAAAGTTAGGAATTTTATACTTGGATTATAGTTTTAAATAACGACAATTACTCATAATTTACTGGTGGAAAAAAGAGCCTAGTGAAAAAAGAGCCTACAAAATCGGTTGCAAAATCCCCACTAATGTTGTATCTAGACACTTTTAATGTTAGACATTAATCGATTTTAAAAAGCTGCATACAAAATTGGTTATTTGTTATCCAATTTTGTATATTCAACCTCATCGAAATCCTGGCTTGCACTTTCATCCTGACCAGTGACCACCTACTACTACACTATCATCTCAAGGCTCTACAACCACACGGGAACACCCAACAACCCAGCACACAGGAATACACCTGAATATACGAACACCCCATCCTCTTATGCCAAACGAACCCATGTCTCATATTCCAACTCACATTGTTATGCTAGCAAGGCCTAAGGAATGACAATGCGAGTGTGGTAGTCTAGCTCAATGGGTAGGATAACTTCCTATGTTTGAATTAGAGATACATTCATTCCCCATTACTTCCCATAGGCTGTTTTCATTGTTGACAATTGGTGAACTGTGAGTATTGATCCATACCACGGATTTTAAGGCTGAGAGGGGAAAAGCCTTGTTAACCCAAATGGAGTTTTGTTATGTGAATGTTGAGGAGGAAAGGCCTTGAGCATTGTTATATTAAATGAAATAAAATAAATAAAATCAGTTGACGTTAGATCTAAGTCCAGTGAAATTAAGTGTTACAGGATTGACCATAAAAATAGTAAATTTAATTCAATAAATACTCATTTGTTTCCAAAAGTATTAAGCATTGTTATATTAATCTTTGAAACTAAAAGAATATCAAGTAAATATCCAAATATCAAGTTCATAAATTTAAAATTTTCGAAGCTTTCTAGTTACATTTCCCTAATAATTGATATTCATTTATCTCCATTTAGTCAATAATTGTCAAGTTCATATAGGTAAACCTTATTGGGTAGGGACTCAAAAACCATGGTTTGGGTAAAAGATGGGGAAAAAAAGGCTTTTGTCTCGACCATAAATTTGTTTTTCAAATAAAATTGCATAAATACACAATTTCTAAAGTCACGATAATCTACTTTTGTTGTTCATGCAGGCTATGTAGTAAGTACTGTATGTCATTAGAGATAGCCCTCTATTTACCGAAGAAAGCTATCGACCACACTATAAAGTAATTTTATGGCAGAATACTATTGCTACGCTTTTAAACTAACACTTCCTTTTTGTGATGAAATCTTAGATATATTCTGATAACATTTTCAATGCAGGATTTTTAGTAGAGCCATAGATACCTGTTCTTCCGTATGATGCAATTCAACAATCTAGACTTGTATGACCATCTGATGAACAAAAACCTGGTCAGTATCTAACTACACTTGTAACGAAACTGTAAAAAAAAACCGTGTTATATGTCAAAATGCACAAAGATTGTAAAATGCACACAATGCTCATTCATGAAATGCACAAAGTAAGGCAAAATGCATAAAGCTTGTAAAGCTAATCAGTATTAATTTCATCCTCGTTATCAGGCCTAGTAAACTTCAATTCCACAGTTTTTAGTTTTTACTTCATGGATTTTATCTATCATAGCAGGAGTATCCTTTGTCCCATGCTCACTGATGAAATACTGCCAGTATCTACATTACATCAACCTCTTTCTTACATCAATAAAATAGAAAGCCAGGTTATAACAGGACAGTTTTTTGGTCTTTGATATTTGGGGTGCAAAAAATTCAAACCAATTCAATCGAGATTATAAAGTTTGATCTGTTTTGAGAAAAAATGAAAGGTAAATCAGACAGTTTCAATGAAAGGTAAATGACAAAAGATGTAAGAGGAAAGGGGGGGGAGAATAATTCACCTTATTTGAGAAAATTATATGCAATGACTAAGTGAGAATAAACACTCATCTTTGGCTCCACTTCAACTTGGGAGTTTCAATTCCATCTATTCCCTTTTCATTTTTTTTAATTTTTTACCTTACATTTTCTTTCTATTCCATTCACTCTGAAATTTTCCAAAAATGTTCAAACAGACTTGCTTTATGAACTTGCTGGCAATATCTATTAGAATATCACTCTTATCTTGATCATATTCTAGCGCTGAGAAGTAAATTAAATAAATAAATGAATCCAATATCTTAATATTGTGGCAAAAATATAAAATTTTGAAACTCTAGTAAATGTTGTAGCAAGACGAGTAACAGGAAGCAACCTTACATAATCAGACACAACAATTTTCTATGACATTCATATGATATTTAAGTACAGTGTACATAGTCATTGATCAATTCTTGACTAAGAGGACTTCGACCTTCCCTTGGTTTTTGTATAGTTTGCAATTAGGTTCTGTTTTGAATCATTAAAACATGGAATTGGGTTTATTTGAATTTAAATCAAGCTTTTGTCATATATTGAACAAATTCCAACAAAATTCATTGATCAGAACCCATTTAATCACCATGACAGTCATTTATTAGCATATTCCTCTACAATGCACTAAACTACACTTTGTTAAAGGGAAAACCTTCTATTGTACAAACCATGTAAAAGCCACAGCCAATGACACTAGAAACAACTTTCTCCAATTTTTTACATAAACCAAACGTAGAAAGAAAAAGACTACACCAAAAAGTTAAAAACAAGATTCAAAACTTGGTGGGTTCCTCAAACTCATTCAATCTCTCCTCCTTCTTCCTCTTCAATTCAGCCTCATAAATTCTTAGCCTTTCATTCATTTTCTCCTGACTCAACACAAGTACACCCACATCATAAAATTGAAAAAGAAAAAATCTTTGAAGATAAAAAGAAAAAGGGTGTCGGATTATGCCACTGAAACTCCACTGGGTAGCTTCAGAGACCCATAAATTTGAAGAGACATTGGAAGCAAATAAGGAGAGAGGAGAGAGGAGAGAGAAGAGAGTGATGCTATGCTAACCTTGTAGTTAGTTTCAACGCGGTGCATAACGTAGAATCCGAGGATGCCTCCGACGATTGTACCAGTGATGATCCGAATGTAGCCCCATTTCTGAGAACCAGGTCTCATCATCGTTCTTTCTCTTTCACTCTTGATCCTTTTTTTTCAGAGAATGGTTTCAGTTTTAGGATCTGTGTGTGTTTAAAGGTATGGGCTTATTTTAATGACAAAAATATGAAAATTTCACATGCTACATGGCCTGGCCCATTCACATGTTCAACTTTTTGTTTCTAATAATTCAAACCAAATGTGTATGTTCTTTGACACGGTTTGAATTATTAGCAAAATTATATTATTTATTTTATTTTATATCGTATGTTTTTATATTGGATGAAAAATGCATTAAATAATAATAAAAATAAAAAATTATATGATATAATGTTAGTATATTATTAATGATTTGTTAAAAAGATGAGAAGGGAATAGATTTAAAAAGTAAATGAAAGAAAAAATGGTTGTAAGTTTATATTTAATTATTTATTATATGAAAAATGCATTAAATATTAAATTATATAATTTTTTGTTTATTAAATAAGTTTGTTATTTTTAAACTGTATCTGATATTAAATAAGTATTTTTAAAATATAACCAATTCATTTAATAATGTTATATATAATATAGCGTTCTTATTATATCAAATAAGGTAAATACTAAGTGATTTTAATAGTAGATTAAAAGGAGATTAAAAGGAGATGTTCACAAGTTCTTATTTATAATCCTCTTTAAACTAATTTATCTTATGTTGTCATGTTAGCATCAATTAGATTGTTATATCACCATTAGGTATATGTTTGGTTAATCATTTGAAAAATATTCAATAGACTTCCACATATTTCAATGCATAAAATGTAGAAATAACTCTTTTATCTTATTTAATCAAAAACAAGTTACATTGAATGTAACTTTTCATGAACACACCCTAAAAAGTTACGTCTCAATTCATGTGAGCATTAAAATAATATATTAATGTCACATAATAAAAAAATAATATTAAAGAAAATAAATAAATAAGATAACTAAACTAAAAAAATGATACAGTAAAAGTGAATTTTAAGCCAAAAGTAACATTAATCGTGTAATTTTGAATACTTGATATTTTCTTGCATAGAAGGTTGATATTAAGAATAAAATTGATAAATGAAAATAAAGAACAAACATGTGACACAACAAAATAAACTATCATTTAAGTCAAATTTTTTTTTAAGTTTAAATATGTTTTTAATCTATCAAATTTAAGGTAAATTGATTTCTGGTCCTTTATATTTAAAAAATATTTTTTTAATCTTTATAATTTTTTAAAATATTATTTTAATCTCTCAAATTCTAATAATCTATTTAAAAGTGATAGATTGAGATAATTATATAATATTAATCAAATTTAAAATAATATTTTCATTAACAAATAAATTTATATCACAATATTTAACAAATTCACTAATAAAATTTAAGTATAAAAATAAAAACAAAAAATTTGAATATTACAAAGACTAAATAGATCAATTTTAAATTTGAGAAACTAAAAATAAATTTACCTTACATTTAAAGAATTAGAAATATATTTAAACCTATTTTTTTAGTTTAGATTCGAAGATATATATATATATATATATATATATATATATATGTTGTTCATTCATTGTTGTGTATGTTTCTATTCTTAATGCTTGTTTGGGATTGATT